GCTTTCGTGCATTGGCTCTTAGATAGTTTCTATTGCTCAGAAGGTCTTTCATAAAATAATGAGTTTGATCAATGACTTGTGGAGCATTATTGAAAAATACTGAAAAATGACTATTTCACCTTGTAGCTACTAGTATGATCAACTTAAATAATCACTCATCTGAACCCATTTTTGTATGATGAATACATCAAATTGAGATGCATATACAGTAGAGTTTTAAGCGAAATTAATTTATTCTTTTCTAAGAAAAGATTATGATAAAAATCTAAAAACAAATGTACTTGTTTTCTCGATAGTACTCTTACAAAAGTTTGAGTATCTCCAGAGTAGAACAATATTTTTTCGAAATAGTTTGCTTCAAAACTCTTAAAACTGTGCTCTCTACAACATATATGAAATTTGAGCAAAACTTGATAAGCTCGATCAACCAGTTTCTGTGAGAATAGATTGTGGTTACTTTAGAGTGGTTCCAATATACCTAAATTGGCAGTATCCTAACAGCTGAATAACTCGACCTAGGCTAGTCATCAGAAGCTCATATTTTTAATTTGACCTTTTCTCGTTGAGAGTTATCATTTTACCCGAATATTGTTGAGTAATTCAACTGGCATGACAAACAGTTTCATTGTTAGTGATGACTGGCTTGAGTTTTTTTCTGTGAAAGAATAAATATCACTCAACCTTCACAATTCAAGCAAAGCTTACAGGTGCCAATTGAGTCTTCGACAAAAAACAGACAGCTAAAAAACAAAAAGAAAAGAAATGTGGAACCCGATGATAGTCTTGAATATTCGAGCAAAGTTCAGGCAACCGAGTGCATGTGAAATCTGTTTTTGTTTCATATTCAAATACAGTGAGATGAACTTTTAATTAGTTTCCACAAATGTAACAAAGGACAAGAAAAGTACGGCTTCAAAACAGTCAGCTTCAAAATTATTTCATCGTCTTCTCTTTTATGATAATTTTAAAAAGACTATTTCTCAAGTTCATAATCTAGCCTATAACTTTCGTTTCAGATTTGATGCTAATTTTGCTTAGAAGAAAACAAGAGAATCTGCGATGAAACAAAGTATATCATTTGTATAAGTCTGGTGTGCAAAAAAATATGCATCGTCTCATCTGACGAAAATAATTAAAACTTATTGGATCAAGAGTCAAGCTAGTACTTCAAATCTTATGTTGCATTTTTTATCTAAATCATAGAAATATAGCTGATCATAAGACCAAATTCGTATTTATCTTCTTTCTCAGCAAGCAATAAATCTCGATTTCATGCAATAAGAGTCTTCGAGCCAGTATCTCCTTCAATCTCAAACTCTTTTTCTCTTGTTTCGTTTTGGAAAAAAAATTGAGTTTTATTACAAAGTGCATATTTTCCGAGATTTTTCGATACAATCAAATCCAATAGTTCAGAAATATTTGGACAAAATATGATCACTATATGAGTATTTATATATTGTTATTATGTACCAGTCGAATGGTTTGAAAAGGAGAATCGAATGAGCATATGCAAAAATTTATCCGCACATACACATGCATATCTCAGGGGCGTAAAGGTGCGGCTGACATCCTCACATTTTCAGCTCCATCCTAACTCATTTTATCCTCGAATCTCACGGTCATCCAACTTAAGCAGAAAATTTAGTAGATGTCTGAAGGCGTCTCTCAGTCTGAAAGAAGTCGAATGAAGTCAAATAAGTTGAAATCAAATTATATTTTCTGTAAATACCTATCGTTCTAATCTGTCGGGACATTTTTCGAGTAAAATGCTATTTTCTCGCGAAGGATATGTGCTTAAGAGCTGGAATTTTTCTCGCAGTTTTACCATATAGTCATCTAAAAAGGGTAAAAAAAGCATGGTCTTAACTCCTATAGTTACCAAGAAATCAAAGAAACAAAATTCAAAATCTGTCGGGATGTTTAACAGAAAAGTGGCATTCTTCCCGCTTATTTTTGGTTTTTAATATGATCCAGAAGGTCCTTGAAAAAAACATTTTTAAATAAGAAAATAATGCAGTAATAGAAACAAATTTTTTTTTCCTTTTATTTTTCAATTTTCAATTCAAATTTCGAAGGGATAGTGGAATTTTCGATCTTGACTGTTATTAACAAGCTGGTAAGAGCAGTCATCATCAGTAGAAATATTCAATAATCTAATCCATAAAACAGTCTATAAAACCAATCCATAATCTAAAATCTTTGATCTAATCCATTTTATAGATTATTTTATGGATTAGATTATTGAATATTTGTACTGATGATGACCGCTCTTACCAGCTTGTTAATAACAGTCAAGGTCGAAAATTCTATTATCTCTTCAAGATTTAAATTGAAAATTGAAAAAAAAAGGAAAAAAATTTTGTTTCTATTACTGCATTATTTTCTTGTTTAATATACACAAAAAACGTTTCTGACTTTTCTCAAGTTACACTGATATAACTTTTTTCTTACAAGATTTCTCGCTCTTTGGTCTATCGAATATTAAAAGTAAATTCGCGTTTGCCTTTAAATTGGCTTTAGTAGATTGAATTAATCTGTCGAGACATAAATCGCCAAAGTGTATGTTTAGATAGTTTTTGCAAGATTTAATCGGTAGATTCAAAGTGAAATTATTTTCTGTTTATATGGTCAGAAAGAGAATAGTCTTAGCTACAAAGTGGTTGTCAGAAATTATTTTTATTTAGGATTGATCAGAAAAACGCCAAGAATCTAAATTTGATGAGCTTCAGTAAGGATCGGAACCGGTAAAAAACTAAAAAAATATTTTCAAGTTAAGTATGAAAACAGTTTTTCTGTATGGGCACTATATCTAAATAGTACATTAGACAGAAAGCAGCACACAAAGAATTTATATTCACACTGTCTCAAGCAAAATTGAATGAAATAAAATGAATTTTTCTATTGCTGTGTGTCCTTGTGTTTGAAATTCTCTAGTCTGCATATCTTCTGTCATAAGTACAACTATTTGTTTCAATGAGTGAAACATAAATCGACTAGATTCTAAGTGTAAACAGAAGATGATGGACCGGAGAAGTAGACGTCACTATGAAAGCGGCTAGCCATGAGTGGCGCCCCGGAGAGGTGCCGACGAAGGAGTAGTTGCTGGTCTGTACCATTAATCGGAGGTGAGCTTCGCAGAGTGTCGTAGTTCATAGAAAAATAGCCTATCTTTGTGGTTCAATCAATTGGTATCATATGCAAAAGCGACAAAAACTAGCAAGTTTTTCTCTAAATCAGTTTCGAGAAAAAACTTTTCTGCAGAAGTGAAACATCTTGAACATGCATTTGACGAAATGCATGTGTTAGCGCATTTGTATTAACATATCTTCTATGTGGATAAAAAATGCGGATGTTTCGTGATCTAAAGTGAAAAGATAATCGCTTTGAAAACCAGTCTAAAAATAACTGAGACGCTCATATAACATTAAAGGCTTGTTTCGCAAACGGCAACGATAGAAATCGAACGTCAAATAATATTACTGAACAAATTGTATATAAATGTTGTGAATTAGAGTGCGAAGCGATTTATATGTATTTGTGGAATATCATTAAACGTTGGTTATAAAAGAGAAGAAGCAATTAAATACTACGGTAACACTTAGTTAACTTGGACATTTGTTACTTTACTCAAAGGCATTCTTTAAATAGATCTAGTTTGAAATTTCTCATTGAGAAGTTTTTTTTTATAGTAATAGAATAGTCTTTCGTAAAGTGTCCCATGAGAGTTGATTGAATTGCAATCTGAATTGGACGATTAGTTGGTATAGGAGATGTAAACATGGTAGCGACTAGCCGTGAGTGGCACCTCAGAGGGCTGCCGACGATCGACTAGTCGCTGGCCTGTATAATTTATTTAAGGCACGCATTTTTTTTACAATATCCAATCCTTGTTCATTTAACTATTTCTACTTTCCTGCTTTTGTAATTAATAGTGAAAGCATTAAGAGTGTGATATGCAGAAATTTCGATATGACGCGGAACATTTAAAAATATCTTGAAATTGAAGTTATAGCCGATAGTTAACGACGGAAACTTCTCGTTAGCATTCTTATCAAGAATTATTTTGCTATAAATCAAATAGTTTTCTGCGAGATATGTGTCAACGTCTCTTATTTACAGGTAAGTCATTTGTTTGTAGAATTATCGAAACCAATCTATGAGCAGGAAGCTAACGACTAGCAGGTAGTGATCTATTGCTCGTGAGATATTTCACAGATATGAGTGTAAAATTAATCAATCGAGGGGCAGTAGTCCTATATTTTTCTGATCTTTTGAACATGCATGATGAACAATGAATGTTACAGTTTCAACAATAAATATTATTTTGAAAAAATAAAGAATTAGTTAGAATCAAATGTTATTGTAGCATCAGTAGCATCGCATACATCGGCGAATTATTTGACAATAATTCCCAAGATGAATAGAAAGAGTTCAGTCGAGGGTCAAGCGAGTCGTAACGACGAGCGTTATCTTGTTTATCAGCATATTCAAGAAGACGTTTGTTATACGTATCACTAATTTCATTCATCAGACCGTACATCTGAAGAAAATGATTAGCAAAAATAAATACTGTCGTACTGAAACATTTACTGCTTTGAGTTTTGTTGTAGAGAACACTGGTGAAACGATGGATCGAGCATTTTTCCATTGTTCATCTCTTAACCCTGTAAGACCATATTCCATGATACCTGTAACACCATCCATGTTCTACAAAAGCAGAGAGATGTTCAAATATTGATAGAAAGGCAATTACTAATTACTCGTCGATTAATAAACACATTACAATCTTTGATTAGAACGTTTCGAAGAAGATCTGGATCAGAGAGAAGAATAAGTGGAGTAGTTCCATCGAAGATTCTATAATAAAATTTTCAAAAGTTTCTGTCCAAATTAGTAAAATGCAGCAAACATCAAGTGATCAGTACAGACATTGTTGAACTTCATATCCACACTTTGTTGCATTAATATTTACTTACCCAATGATTTTCCCATATTTTCGAACAAGATCGACGTCGTTCGCATATAATCCCTGAATGAATGCGACTGTTAAATTAATATACTATTGAAGAAACATATGAAAGTTAATACCTTTCGCATGACATTAAACATTTCACCGAGTATTGGAATTGGTGCTGGACCAGGTATTCCAAGACGACGAAATATATTGTTTGTACGCAGATTGTAACTAAAATTCAGGTTATTAAATTTTCATTTTGAAATAATAAATGAGTTGCAGAATACCCACACATAATAAGCAAAGATAAATATGAGTACAATCAATAATGTCAATGTAATTGAATCACCAATTAGAAAATAAGTCATTTTTATGTTTGTTATCTATAATAAATTATAAAAAGAACTTTTGCTTCTGCATATTTTTTGCAGCATTCTTTTGTGGCGTTGTTATTTTTTTATGACGGCGTCTTTTTGATGATAGTTTTAGTTGTGTGAAGCACGTACATTCGGTTGTTTTTACCTTATTTCAATATTGACACAAAACATCCATGTCAAGCATTTTAAGCATGAGAAAAGAAAAATAAGATAAAATTTCGAATGTTTTGTTGTTGTTCTGATAAATGGCTTTCGAAGATCATCGTTTCATTGTCTATTGTCTATAGCATAGCATTAACGTTTTGAGAAATGTAGAGAACCTTATTTAATGAATTTTTTTTTCTATGTGCAGCTTTTGGAATTCTTCGTGCACATTATTATATCTCTAATTTGTCTTGATTTTTATAAGATAGTAAAGACTCATGATGCAAAAATAATTGGTGTAATAATAACTTATGTTAATTTTCAACTTAGGATTCGGATCGATGTGTGACTTTCTGTAATAAAATAACTTTTCTTTCAAATATCGATAAAAAAGCTTTTACCGTAATTCCTTTGGGACCAAAATGTGAAACACGATGAACTTGATGATCTTGCTGTTAATTAAATTTTTAAAATGTAGCAGAATCAGTGATGTCTCAGAAAAGAGTATATAGAGAGCTTCAAGTGTACGACTGAACTTATCGATTCTCTAACAAGAGCAGCGAATGTCACTAGAAGGGTCACCGTGTAAATACATCTCAAAAACGAGAGAATTCTATTGTCTTCCTCTCTTATTTGCATTTCTGATCAGTCTGTGATGAGAGAAGACGCCGTTGTTAAGATATTTGTCACGGTCTGTGGGAAGTGGCTTCATTTTTCTCACCTTATTCTTCGACATTCCTTTTCAGATCGTATTTCACAGAATTAAGGTTGAAATAAGATTTGAAGGTATAATATTTGTTGCATTAAATTCAATGATGCTCTTAGCCTTAAACGATTACGATCTACATTAAACAAGCATTATGAAATCCCGGATGAGTAATCCAGGTCCCGGATCCTGTCAGATCCTGCCGGAATCTTATAGGAATTCTATAGCTAAGTCAGATATTAATAGAGGTGCAACAAATCCTATTTATCTGCATAAAGATTGTAAATTCTCGGTATGAAAGTCCTCCTAATCTAGTCAAATCTTCGTGTCAATTATAACCAGTTTTATTCGCTCTATCTGATATTGATATTTATTTACCAAATCTAAAAGAGTACTTCTAAGATTTGGTAAATAAATATCAGTATCAGATAGAGCGAATGAAATTGGTTATAATTGACACAATGGTTTGGTTAGATTTGGGGGAATTTCATACAGAAAATTTACAATCTCTATGCAGATAAACAGGCTTTGTTGTATCCCTACCTAAAATGAAGAAAAAAAAATTATTTAATTAAATAAAATACTTATAGTTCAATTTTGATGTTGAAATTGACCTGAAATAAAGAAAAAAAAATTTAATGATTTAAGATAAATTTGCTCCGTATAGATCTTAGTAACAAAAACAATAACAACGAACAACTTTAAAACGACTTACTTTCAAAAGTCGATTTAATAATACGCAAAAATAGACGCATTATTTTGCATTGAGTACGATACTCCCACCTGATTTTTCTAGTTCCCAAAGTAATGCTAATAAAGTTATAATATTCGTAACGTATTTTAATCTACTTCGACAAGACGGATTTTTATCATCATGTCAAATTTAGATTGTGATTTCGTTATGGTGGTTAAAACAGCTTTGCTTCACCGTAAACAATATTCAGAATATATTTCAAATATATTCTGTAAATTAGAATAGACAAAAATAGATGTTTTCATATCATCGGATCCAACAGGGTGTGTTTGACCTGGGAAACTACAAGTTATTGTTTCATAAAGGTTTTTCGCTTTCCTCACATGTATATTTGGATGGATAATGTTTTTTTGGAAGAAAGAAGAACCCATTGTAAGATATATGAACAATAGAAAGAAGAAAGAAATTAGACAAAGAGAAAAACAAACTTGAATAACAGTGAGTCAGATATTTATATTTATAAATAGAAGAAAGAGAAAAACAAAACAAAGAAGATCTCATGATTTGGTATTAGGATTTTATTTATTACCCTGAATGTTTGTTTATATTGAGATGTTATTTTTATGTGCTGATGCATGCACGAACTTTATTCTGAAGGAATGAATAATTCCATAAACAACAAAACATATATATACGTATATATAGAACGAAAGAAAAACCAGTACCAATAGAGATGAAAGAGATACAAAAGAAAGTTGAAAGACAGTGGAGAAAGATTATAAGATATATATATATATATAGATGCGACATCACCCTAACGTACTCCCTACTAGACAAAAAAATATGTTCTATCAGCATTTTCATATGACTAATGAAGATTGAGATATAGAAACGAAAAGAAATAACGATTTAAACAGGAAAAAGAAAAAAAATGTAACAGTTAAGTTCAATAGACGTATATAAATCAATAATAGAAAAATCAAAACAAAAAAATAACGCATATAACGGAATGAAAAAACAAAGAAGGTCATAACGGTTTTATAGATATAGACAGTTAACAAAATATAGCGTTTAGATGAAATGGTACAACTGCAGAATAACGACAC